GAATGGGGGGGGAGATACTTACAGACGCTCACGGCTCCAACTCCCTCTCCGGCAAGCCTGTTGGGAAAGGGGAAAATAAGCAATAACGCCAAAGTACAGACAAGATATCACACTGGGACCACCTAGTTAGACTTTCACGGCCTTCAGTAGGGTCTGTCCTCTGGTGAGGTATGTCTGTATCACCGCTGAAAGGTGACAATGCTCATTTTTATTACTGCATCAGTTACCAAGAGCTGGAGAAACGAATCTTTTCCTGTAAAGCTCACAAGTTAAAATATCCCTCTCTCTGCCCTTGTTTTACATCACTTGGTGCTCCAGCCCCTTAGGGTGAGCTGTCTCTTTGATCCCAAGGAGATGCACCCTGCTCTGAAGAGCAGCACACAACGGGTCCACCTGTTTGTCCTCACCTGCTCTCCTCTCCCTCCAGCAGCTTCCTGTAGGTCGCGATCTCGATGTCCAGGGCCAGCTTGACGTTCATGAGCTCCTGGTACTCACGGAGCTGCCGGGCCAGGTCAGCCTTGGCTTTCTGCAGAGCATCTTCCAGCTCGGCCAGTTTGGCTTTGGCATCCTTGAGGGCCAGCTCCCCGCGCTCCTCCGCCTCGGCAATGGCTGCTTGGAGGTTGGCACACTGGAAAAACAGATCGTTGTTTAACTTGGGCTACCCCAAACTTCTCTCCTGAGTATTGTTATGATATTGTAGGTACTGGCTGCTGGCTCCCAGGATGGCACCGAGAGCTCCTGATGGGCCATTAGGAAGGTGTCGTAGGGTGGGTGACTGGGGAGCTGCAGCCCCAATCTTGTCCCCAAAGAAAAGGAGAGACAGCTGCATCTCTTGGCTTTGCTGGGGTAGCCTAGTAGCTCACAATTTACTTCCCCAGCAAGAGAGCGGCTATCGCAGCACATCCTTGCACTGAGGGACCTTCTCTGGTGGGCAAAGACAGTGATGGCCATGCCTTTTTTAATGCCAGAGGGAAAGCCTGGCCTTCCAGCCCTGCTCCAAAGCCAGGAGCTGGCTCTTTCTGCCACGCCTGACCACCATCACCTCCTACCTGCCCTCCACCATGCAGCAGCATCCCCCTCCTACCTGTTTCTTCACGCTCTCGATCTCGTTCCGCAGCCTCTGGACCACGCGGTTGATCTCTGAAATTTCTATCTTGGTGTTACGCAGGTCGTCACCGTGCCGCCCGGCAGAGACCTGGAGTTCCTCGTACTGGTACGCAGAAAGGAGGAGAGCGCTGGTTAGGCACCCTGGGGCTCAGGGAAGGGTGAGGGGACTTTGGGGTACAAAGTGCAGATCTGGATGCAAGTTAAGGGGTGGGGGACAACATTCCTGTGAGCAACCTGCCCCTAGAATAACCACATTTGCCCTTAGATATCAAGCTATGCCAAGAAGATGGCTATTGTATTGCATAGAGCACCTATGGGTTGTCGCCTACTAGTAAAAACCTGGAAGGGAAAGAGGAGTGCTCTGTTTTTAAGGCCAAATCCATCAGTGACTCTTTGTGAGGCCAAGGTAAAGGCATCTAAGCATCTTGTCCCTTGGTTTCACCGCAAGCAATGTAAGGCTGGTCAAGTGTAGCGGTCCAGAAGCGCGCAGTGGGGATCTGTACGCAAGAGCCAATTGCAACATGCACAGAAAGATAAATTCATTTCTGGTGTACTGCTGTGATCCTTCCTCTGTTAGTCCTGCCTCCCACCAGCTACTGTGATGTCCCATGAATTACAGAAAGCGGTCTGTCGTTCTAGTTAGTTACTCACCTTATTTTGATACCAAGCCTCAGCTTCTGCCCGGCTCCGGTTCGCGATGTCCTCGTACTGCGCTTTAACCTCTGCGATGATGCTGTTGAGGTCCAAGTTACGGTTGTTGTCCATGGACAGGACCACGGAGGTGTCGGATACTTGCTGCTGCATCTGGGACAATTCCTGCAGAAGATGCAAAAAATGAAGTTAACGGTCTGGTATCTGGGGTGGAAGCCGTGCAGACAAGAAGTGGCTTGGGAGCCCTCTCCGCCGTGCCATTTTCTTGCATTTACTCCTGCTCTGTCTCTAACTATCTACCCTTTTCTATCTTATGCCTGCATTATAATTTCAAAAAGGCAGTGACCACCTTCTCTTTTACTGCTGTACAGCACTGAGCATGGTGGCCGGAGCTCCAGGGCATGGAGAAGAGTACGGCAGGGAGCTGTGGAGGATGCAATCGCGGGGAGGGCGGATTGCTTACCGCTTCGTAGAGAGCTCTCAGGAAGTTAATTTCATCTGCCAGCGCGTCTGCTTTGGCCTGCAGCTCGACCTTGTTCATATAAGCGCCATCCACATCCTAAAGAAAAGAAAACCAAAGACTTCTGATGAAACCACAAGCCAAAGGGGCTTCAGGACACCGGTGGGACCATCTGTCTGCCTCCAGGTCTGTTATTCTTTATGCTTGTTTTAATATTGCTATGATCGAGGTTGGTTGGGGGTTTTTTTGATGTAATGTTGGACATTTACTGTGAGCCAGAGCGAGTTTCTTGGGCAGAAGGCAAAGCTCTGACTCGTGGGGATATGACAAGAGACAGAGTTGAACTGAGCCACAAGAGGCCAGATGGTTTGCAACTGTAACCAGAGGAGCTGTCTTCAGAAAACAGGGCAGCTCCATCGGCGTGGAGAAGGTTATGCCCATTCGTGCCCTCAGGAGGACCCAGCCCATACTTGCTCCTAGATATGCCAACATCATGGCCTGACCCAACCGTGAGGTTGGAGGACCCCAGCTCCCATCAGCTTTGCTTGAACTCTGTGCATGTCGAGTTCATTTCATTGTCCGTCCCATGACTCCCAGTTCCCTCACCTTCTTGAGGACCACAAACTCGTTCTCTGCACCGGTACGCCGGTTGATCTCATCTTCATATCTGTTAGGATAAAAGAGTGAGAGGGTTTTGGTGGAAATGAAGAGCAAAGCCAGCATGGGACCACTCCAGTCCCAAATCATGAGTTGTGGCTCACGGTGATACTCCTTACTCCCCACCTGTTTGCAGTCCAGAGCAGATGCAAAGCAAATGATTAGTGACTCTGAACCTGCAAGACTCCATCGTGTGAGTTGTCCCAGCTAAAATTAACAGATTTTTTTAATCACTGCCCTTAAAGTCAAGCTCATACATAAATGTGTGCAGATTCAGAGCCCATTTCGGTAGGAAGCAGGAGCAGGTATTCTTGGTGACCTTTGCCCAAAGCAAAGTTATGCAAAAGGATTTCAACAAAGCTTCATTGCAATGCCTACAAATACATAATAATGTAACTATTTGATATTTGATATTTTGATGATGCTAATGGCTCTGAATAACCCGCTGCAGCATCTAATTAAAAAGAAAAAAAGTTGTGCAAGAGCACGTCGTTATGCCTCAGATTATGTTTCTGCGGAACTTTTTATGGCTCTGAGCAACATCCTGTCATCAGATAATCAAGGCAGGGCTTAGCTGGAAAGTAGGCAAAACATGTAGGCTCTTGAGGCAAAGACCTGGATTTTAAAGGCAGGTTCGTGCCAGTCCTCCAACTAATATTGGCAGAGATATCCCTGAGATGGATCTCCGAGCGGACATGGGAAGAAGTGGAAATTAGCCAGTGGACAGGGAACCAACTCTAGACTTGAAATAAAATGTGTTCTTTTCCCCAGGCAGTAGCTCCAAAATCCAGACAATATCATTTGACATTTTTGGCCTGATCAGTATTTCTAAAAGCCGATAATACGTATCGAGACCTGAAATGCACCCATGTACAACCAGAAGCTGTGTCAGTCCATCTTGTCAGCTCTTAATTGCCGTCTCCCCATCCCACCCCCCAAAAAAATCTGTCTCTTTGCATGCTTCACTATCTAATATAAACATATTTCAGGCCTCCAGGGTGTTTGTCTCAAATAGGCACTTGGCCAGATCTGGTTCAATAAGGGAGAGATTGTTCTCACCAGACTACAGCCAAATAAAAATGAACGGCCTCGCCTTAAAAAAAAACCACATAAATGTCCCTTATAGTCAGCAGACACCGACAGGCGTGTCCTTAAAATGATTCATCCCACGTCCACTGGACACCTTATCTCAGGATGGGATTAATTGCCTCCCAAGGGAAATCGTTTTCTTTGGCAATCGTCAGACTAAAGAGCTGAGCAACTTTTGCATGATCGGAGCCGAGCGAGGCCAAGCGCACGCAGGTTGCCGGGACCCTCTGGAAAGGCTGGGATTTCCCTTGCAAAAAGAGAAATGGAGGAATTTGGAGCTGGCACTTCATAGCTATGTTTCGTTCCCTTTTTGCATGTTCATTATACTCATCAGTTATGCGTTTTTCTGTCTCTGGGTGTATTATTTTGGGAGAGTCGAGGGATCAGACCGTGACCTCCGTTACACTGGAGCAACTTCCCACGGGCGCGTGAATTCTGTGCTAAACGCTGATCCTGCACATAAGAAATCTGACATAACTAGAAGTAATTCTGAGACCCAAGTTTTGCTTTTATACGTTCATTTGGCAAACTGGAAGAGGAACCCAGCGCAAGCACAAAGTGTGCACCAGCCAGCATGAACCGCCTGGCCTGATTTTCCCGTCTGCTAATCGTTTATGCTACGGAGCACGATTTCTTACTTGTTCTTAAAGTCTTCCACCATGTCCTGCATGTTCCTCAATTCAGAGTCCAGCCGTCCCCTCTCTCCCATAAGACTGTCTAGCTGCCGTCTGAGGTTGTTGATGTAGGCTTCAAAAAGGGGCTCCAGGGATTTCCTGGTGACTGTGTGACCTTGCTCTTGGAGGAGAGTCCACTTGGTCTCCAGCACTTTGTTCTGCTGCTCCAAAAAGCGCACCTGGGGAGAAAAAAAAAGCCCATGTGAACAATGTGTTAAAAAAAAAGCCCGCTGCTGGGAAAAGGAGGGATCATTCAACACGGAAAGAAAAGGTCAAGAGATGCTAGGGCAGTCAGGGGGAAATTATTAGGATCTTCCTAATTTAGGACACCAGATTCTCAAAAGTATCAGAAGCGGCTAAGATGTTTAGCGAGATTTTTCTAGAACTGTTAAGCAGGCCAAACACCTTTATTTGCAACTCGAGGTGTTTCTCCCCCCAGTAGATGCTCAGCCCACCTTCCTGGTTTAAACTGCTGTTATTCCATTGAGTTGTGTAGAGCTTTGCCATTTTACAACCAGTAGAAGATTTGTCCAGCCCCCTCCCGCGATGTTTTTTACAGGGAGGAAGGGGATTTATTTTTTCAATAAAATAAGGTGCTGAAAAACTCATCCTTGTGAAGAGGAAATATAAGACAGTTCTTAGTTTTCAGCCAAACCCATCTGTTTGTTGGCTGGGGTTAGTTCAGGCAAGCTCCTAAATCCAAACGAAGTTTTCTCCTGTAGTTTTTCCCCCGAGGCAACTGATAATATGCATGGTTGGATGTTTAAGACCAAACTCTCACCTTGTCGATGAAGGAGGCGAATTTGTTGTTGAGGGTCTTGATCTGCTCCCGCTCCTGTGTTCGCACCTTCTGGATTTCCGGGTCAATATCCAGCTTGAGGGGTGCCAGGAGGCTCTGGTTGACAGTCACTTCGTGGATGCCACCAGGTGGGCAAACAGGGAACCCGGGGCCACCTCGACCACCAAATCCGGGACCTCCCAGCCCAAATCCACTGCCCAGCCCATAGCCGCCACCACCACCAACTCCTCCTAAGCCAAAACCAGCGCCTGCTCCACCACCATAGCCAAGACCAAAGCCAGCTCCTCCACCAAAGCCGTATCCACCACCGGCTCCACTCCGTAGACCTCCACCGACCGAGCTGTAGGAAATTCTTTTGCTTCCACCTAGGTTATAGAGACTTCTGCTGCCGAAACCACCACCAGCTCCAAAGCCTCCTCCACCTCCGGCTCTTCCTCCTCCAACTCTGGAGACAGAGACGGAGCTAAAACTGCTTCTGGTACCACTGCCACCTCCTACGATAGCAGAGCCTGAGCTAAAGCCCCTCATGCCCCCTCCAGTAGATGATCTGAAAGAGATCCGACTCATGGTGGCTTGTTCAATTGGAAATGCAAAGAGCGGGAGAGGGGGGCAAAAAAAAAAAAAAAAAGGCTGGTGAATAAAAGCTGCGCGGCAGGAAAAGAGCAGAGGGCAATGGAGACAGAAACCCCTGTGATGGGAGAGCTTGGGAGCCTCCTCTTTTATCTGCTTGGAAAACTTGGCACGGGAATTCAGAACTTGACGTGCCTTGCAGCAACTTGCCTTGTCAAACACACCTAGGCTACGGCGAGGCGCTGAAAAATGCATTGTTTGCAGGCAAGAAAGTAACGGAGTGAGGGAGCTCCCCCCTCTACCAAAGCCTGCCGCTCTGAGTCATGGAATTAGAATTGAATGGGACGACTCGATGAGGTCTGAGCTCAGGGGCAGGATGCAACACGATTTTCCCGAGACCCTGGGAGCCGGTTTTCCTTTGGCGAGCCAAGGGCTCACTCGCTTGAGTGAGGTTCCTTGCGCTGAAGCTTTTTGCCAGCTGAATTTTTGGGTTTAACGCGTCGCGCAGCAAACAGGGCAGCGTCAATAGGGGCTTCTCCAAGGCTGCCAGCTCTGGGACTGAGCGTGTGTGTCCTGTTGGTGGCTTTGGAAAGCTGGGGCTGAAGGCGGGTTTACTTATCAGCACAGCTCTTTTGATTTCTTTTGGAAAAGGGATCTAAATGGTCACGGGTTTGCAGAGATGAGCTGAGTGGAAGTTGTCTCCTGGCAGTATTTTCTGCAATTTTGCCAAAACATCATCTCCCCTCATTGCAAGGGAAATGGAGAAATTACTTAGCGTGGCTCTCAAAAACAGCAAGTAAATCCCTTTTCCAAAATAACTTCAAATTACACTAAATAGAACTACGAGACTTATAAAACAGTTATTAAAAAGATCCTGGAAATGATCGATCGCTCTTTTGAATCTCCTTGTCAGGTTCAGGGTTCGAAAGCTCCCTGTGAAGTGGTGGTTTTATCACTTTCCCCCC